ACGACTCAAGGCACTTAACAACAACCTCTGGTATGGCGCTGCAGGATACTGCACTGGACCATAAGGTCAGTTTGAAAGACAAGATCGGCATTTCAGACTCACCAACCACTCCTCTGAAATTCTATGCAGGGTCACTAAGAGTCCGAACCAATTCGACAGCACTTAACAATAAGAGCAACCCCTGCTTTACAGGGTCGCTATGAGATGGAACCAACTCACGCCATACTACCATACCACTACTGTGCGCTACCTCGTGAGGCATGTGCATTCATGTTGTATGTTGTCTTGATCTAGTAACACTGTTGTCCCCATTTCATAGAAGAGGAAACCAAGTTTGAGGAAAAGTAACTTGATTTACACTAAGGTTTATAGTTGTTTCTTTGCAACGTATGCACTTGGACCTGGGCTTGCGCTCTTTCCAACGTCCTATGTGTGCTTTGGAGTCCTGTTGTGGCACTGTGGGTTAATGTGTCAGACTGCAAAACTGTTTGAACTGCAAAGTTGGCAGTTCAAGCTCACCAGCTGCTCCTCGGAAACCCTTACAGGGTTGCTATGGGTCGGAATTGACTTGATGGCACTTTACAACAACAACATGTGTGCTTTGGGTGGCAGACCCAGGAATCACCAACTCCAGTTTTCAGATGCTCACTCAGAGCATCATTAGGCAGCCCTGGAGGGTAAAGCAGTGACAAGAACTCTCGACTCACTTCATTTTCCGCTCCCAGCCCAGTCTGGCCTGAAGTCCATCAGGTGTGTTTCTTCAGTGCTCTTGGTCTCTATCCACCCTACTGAACCCTAACCCTCCTAACTTGCTTAGCACCCTCAGAGCTGATCCTTGTCAACAGGTCTACCTGCCCCCTCTACCATCAGCACCTGGAGTGCTATGTTTACTGAAATGCAAATCGGATTCTTCCTGGCTGCTTAATCCTCTTTCCTAGTCCCATCACCTGTAGGACAGTCAAGCTCTAACCACAACCTCTTTTTCAGACCTTATTCCAACCACTCATGCCCACCTGTCCCCCCAGTCACCACCCTCTGGTCCAACCACATGGAACTATTTGGAATTCTCCTAATAAGCCATGGTGTCTTTGTGCATGCTCTTCACACTAAAATTCAGCCCGAACATCTCTCTCCTCCATGAAGTCTTCCCACCCACCTCCATAAACAGCCACCCCCTGGCACCTGGTACATTGTCCTTGTGGTATTGCATCTTTACATGTCTGCTCCGGCCCCAGTTTGGGAATACTGTGTTATAGTCCTTTCTGTTTCTAGGGCCCAACAAAAAGGCGTTCAAGAATATTTAACTGAATTGTGACACGGCCATACTAGGAATGACAGCTAATATTTACCAACTACTTACTATGTGCTCAGCACTGTGCTAAGCATTCCATGTATACTATTTCATTTGATATTCAAAATAACCCTCTGAAACAGACACTCTTACTGATCTTGTTTTACAATTGGGGAAACAGCAGCTCAGAAATGAAGTCAGTCCAAGTCTACCAGCTAGTCTGTAGCCAAGTCCAAAAGACCCCAGAGTCACTACTTAAGTACGCTATCCATCCCAATGCCTTCATTTTACAGAAGCGGGAACATACAAGAGAGGGAAAATGACTTGCCCACAGTCATGTAATGAGGCTTAAATACAAACTTGTTGTATCTCATTCAATGCCTGCTCCCTTCTCATTCTTGCAGGATCCTGATTCAGAAGGATGCAGAACACAAGCTAAGCTGTGTGTCCTGCTTCCCCTAGTGCCCAGCATGGGCCCAGGCATACAGTGAGTGCTCAAATTTATGAAAAAAGTTATGGAAAAAGACAGCCGAATCTCAGAAAAGTCTGAGGCCTGTTTAGATATTACAGTGTCAGGGCTTGAGGGGAAACTTTGAGTATCATTTAGTGCCATCTCCCACTTTAGAAATCTATTCTTTCAACAAGTTTGTTGAACACCAGTCATGAGGTAGGCACTGTTTGAGGCACTAGGAAGATTGATAAGCAAGTTCCTGCCCAGATGGCATTTACAGTCTAGGGGGAGACAATCAAACAACTAACAAGTTAACGTATAATTACAAATTCTTGTAGGTGCTATGAAATATCGGGAGCAAACAACAAAGAACATATAAAAGGAAAAACCAATTTATCCTAGGGAGTTGATGAAGGAACCCCTGAAAAAGTGACTCTGGAACTCAAATCTAAAGAGTAAGCATTAAGCAAGATAAGAAGGAAAGGAAGAGTGTATTAGAAGGACTAGCACGTACAAAATCCTGGAGACAAAAGAGCTCCTGGGCTTTGGGTGAATTAAAAGACCACAGTGGTGGTTTCCAGACAGGTGGTCACGGACTGGATCCTGAGGGCCTTTGTAGGTCAAGGTAAAGATTGGAGAACCTGGTCCAGAGCAGGTCATTTAGTCAATCAGTAAAGGAGTGAAGATCACAGGAAGACCTGGGACTTGACACCAGAACCCCTACCTCCCAGGCGGGGACTACTGGAGGTGTGTACGGAGTTCAGGGGAGACTCTCAAGGTGTTTCTAGGTTCACTCTATCAGAGATTCCCCAGTTCACTCCATACTTCTCTTGTTATCTAGAGTGCATGAAAATCACCCATGCTTGTTAAAATACAAATTGCTAGGCCCCCACCATCAGTAAATCTGAAGTGTTGTTAAGTGCCATCGAGTCAATTCCAACTCATAGTAACCCTGTATAGGGTTTCTGAGGAGCGACTGGTGAGTTTGAACCACCAATCTTGCAATTGAAACTGACCTTACAGTCCTACGCTTACGCTACAGCCCCCAGTTTTACATTTCTAAGTTTACAGGTATCCTTGCTGCTGCTGCTACCACTAGTGAGGCACCACATTTTCAAAGCCACAGTTCTAGACAAGAGTATCTGTGTGGGGTGAGGATAAAGACCTTGGCCAGGATCCATGAAAGCTATAAGGACATAATCCTAAACCTGAGTAACAATAAGACAAACTCCAGCATGGGAAGGGGCCTCAAAGTCCCAAAGTTAAACTCGCTCCCTGCTTAGCAACGAGAGGCTCAATAAAAATGTGTTGGGTGGGACAGGTAAGCACATAAAGGGTTTGACCAAAGTCAGGAGGAGACCCCTGTCCCAGGAAAGGGGTTCAGGGAACCAGGCAGCAAATCTAGTCTTCCCCAGGCTCTGCTGCTTTTGATAGGAGAACATTTTAAGATGTGCAGAAATCTGCTGTTGGCTTCCAATCTTACCACCCATCCACCCTCCTTCCTTTTACACTCACAGCTCCCTCCCTTGACACTCAAAATCCTGTGCACTTCATCCTGGCAAGTCAAGCAGCAGAAGGTGAAGTTTTAGGAAAGAAATAGAACTAAGGGAGAATTCTTGCACTAAGACATCCTTCTCCCAGAAGGATTCCTTCCTTCTAATGTTAAAGTCCCAGTTTCTCTATCATGGTCTGCCAGGCCAACCCCAATCTACCTACATTTCAGTACCAACATCTGAAACCCACAAAGTCAGGGGCTACACCACTTTTTCACTCCATTTTTCTAAAATTCAGTAGCCCTGGACAGAATTGTTTTATCTTATTCTAGCTGGCAGCAAAATGCCACTTGTCTTATAGATCCACATGAACACATTCACTAATATACAAACAACTATATGTCCATAAAACAAATAGATGGGAACTTATAAAAACACATACACATACGTAAAGAGATAAGATGTGCACTGATAAGACATACCTATGTATCCATATGTAGAAGAGTACACTAAGAGAAAACATGAGGACACACACATGCACACAATCTACACATCTAGAAAACCATGCACACACAAATACATGGGGAAGAGGGTACAGACACACCCAAAAGTAGAGAGGTTTCCTGAGGGGAGATGCCTCAGAGTCAGACTGGCACTTTAAGAGAGTGGGACTCCCTCCTCATCCTTTCAGGTCACATAAGGTGTGTATCTACCCATTTGAGCTAGCATGGGAGACAGGCTGGGGAGGAACAAGTATGTCCGGGATCTGGAGAGGCCCTACTGGGCCGTGGGCGACAGTCGCAGCACCGCGATAGGAAATGGATCCTTAATCCAGCTGGGTCACTAGCCTGAGGACCCCCGCCGCTGCTTTCCCCCCCCCCCCCCCCCCGCACCACACACACAAGCACACGCACCCCGCCCCTTCACACCCACCCAACACACACACACACCAGCTTTAACAAGACACGCCCTCCGGTGTCAGCCCAGCTCTTTCTGGGCCCCCGGGGTGTGGCCGCCCACCTGCCAGCAGGGAATCTCCGCCCAGCGGGGGCGCCCTGCCACCCACCGCCCCAGCCAGGTACCCGGTTCCGGGAGACAGCAGCGTCTCGGCCGCCGCCCCCACCCCTTCCTCTCGGCAGTGCAGAGACAAAGCCGCGCACACGCACACGGGGGCTACGCGGGTGCACACACGCCCTCACACGCGCACACACGGAGAATCACACTGGCGCGCACAGCGACACACACACACACCCCTCACCATAGGCTACAGCCATAAGCGAAGGTACTGGCACACACCCTCAACCAGATGTACACACTCAGCTACACATTCGGACACACCCTCTTACAGACACATTCATGCATAGACACACGCAGATACACACACCCTCACCTAAATACACACACACCACCCAGTCCAGATGTGAAGAGACATACAGATGGACACGCGCGCACACACACACACCGAGCATTCATTGCACTGATCCATGGAGACACACGCGCTCACACCCAGCACACATGGACCCGCGAGGACCCCGACACGCATACCCACGCCAGTACCGAAACGCACGAACCAAAGCCCGGGGTTCCAGGCACCGGCGCTCGACCCCCACCTCGGCGGTGTCCAGCCCTCAGAAGTCAGTCGCCCGCCAGTCAGTCCTCCAGGATCAGGGGGGTTGGAGCCCGCAACCTACAGCGAACCTCCCCTCAGGGGCTCAGACGCGGTGGGGCCCACTTAGCCTCGAGGAGGACGACGGGGGAGGCTAACCTGTCGACTGCCGCGCGGCTTCCGGGGAATGTTTGTCCCTGGGTCCGTGCGTCCAGTGGCCGCCGGCGCGGGCTCCGAGGCGCACTCGAGCTGCGCAGAAATGCCCCGCTCGCTCGCTCGCTCCCTCGCTCCCTCGCTCCCTCGGAGCTCAGCCCCCTCCTCGCCCGCCCCCCACACTCCCTCTTCCCTCTCCGCCCCGCCCCGGCCGGCTCCCCCGGTGGAGGCGGCGGCTATCTCGCACCGAGAGAAGCCGCCGGCGATCGAGTGAGCCACAACAACTAGCAGCTAACAGCCGGGGGAGCTCAGCCGCCAGGGAAGCGTGGCCTCCGGAGCCGCCGGAGACCGGGCCGCGCGTCTGGAGGAGCCGCGCCGGGCCTCGAAGAGGGGAGGATAGGAAAGAGGCTGAGCCCCGAGCGCCAGCCGGGAGCTCCCGGCCCGCTGTCGCTTCTCCACGTTGGCCCCGCGTCCCGCGCCTACCTGAGCCTCCGGGGCGCTCACAGGCCAAGGCCGGGAACGAGCTGCGGGACGCCGAGAAGGAGGCGACCCCACCCCAGGCCTCCTCGCCCTCCCGGTCCAAGTACGGTGGGCCGGGGCCCGAACTTCGGGCCCCGCCCCCGCCTCCTCCCGGCCCCGCCGGCACGGACCAAGGCTTTCCCTAGCTTACACGCCACAGCTCTATGCCCTGAGGTCTGGACTAACCCCGCGGCCTGACCCTCTGGAGCTGGTCGACGCCCACCAACCTCCCCATCGCTCTCCCATTGTTCCCGCGACCAGATCTCCTGGAAAATCGTGCCTCCTCTTCCAGTCCTGTCTCAGGGGTAACACCACTGGACTCTCTGGGAGTTCCCCCAAGGGTCTGAGCCACTGGCTCTGGGACCCTGACACCAATCTTCCATGGTCCCGACACGCCCGTAGTAAAGGGCTTTTTCCAAATTAAGGTTATATCCACCACGGGGCCCTGTTTTGAGGACAGACTGAAGCGCTGAGAAAGGAGGGATTAGCCCCAAGTCAGCGAGTCAAAACTGCAGCCGGGAAAAGATGGGGCACAAAAGGTGGCCCCATTCCATAGATGAAGGAACTGAGGGCTCCTGCCTCCAGAATCTTGAGGCAAGGCTAGGGCCTCCAAAAGGGTGCCAGGAAAACGGAGCCTGTACCTCCTTTGTTAAACCTAAATCAGAGATAGTGGGGAAGAAGGCCTACCATTGCATGCACTTGCTAGCGGTTTTTATGGAAGTCTAGACATTTGTGGTAGTGTAGTGCTTACGAGTCGGGCTGCCAACCTCAAGGTCAACAGTTCGAAACTACCAGCTGTTCCGCGGGAGAAAGATGAGGCGTTCTGCTCCCATAAAGTTTTACAGCCTCCGAAACCCTGTGCAGGGTCGCTATGAGTCGGAACGACTCCACTGTACTTAACAACAACAAGACATTTGTAAAGGCTTGCTACGTGCAGGAAGAAACCCTGATAGTGTAACGGCTAAGCACTAGGTTGCTAATGGAAAGGTTGGCAGTTGAAACCCACCAAACAGGAAGAAAAATGTACAGCTTAGAAAACGCTATGGAGCAGTTGTACCGTGTCACACGGAGTCACTATGCGTCAAAGTCACCTCTATGACCCCTAACAACAATATCAAGTGCAGGAATTTAACTGACTTTGTTGCATTCACTTAGCCCTAACAACAATCATTTATGGCAGCTGTAGTGGTGGTGGTAATGTGCTGTAGAGTTGGTTCCAACTCATAGCAACCCTGCATACAGAGCAGGAATCCTCATCTTTCCCCCACTGAATAGCTGGTACTTTCAAACTGAGGTTGTCAGCTGCCCTCATAACCACTCAGTACCAGAGCTATTATCCCCATTCTGTGGATGAGAAGCTTTTGTAGATGAAAAGCAGGACAGCACAGAGCCCAGTGTAACTGCACATTCGGGTTAGTAAGTTCTGAGTGAACAGCTCAGAATGATAGAAATCTTTTGGGCCTTGAAGGACTTAAACAAACTAAGATAGAACTGAGGGAGATGTAACCCCAAAGTAAAACTGAACATAACTTGTGGGGGGGGGCTATAATTAATAATTAGAACTATTGTTTTTAGGTGACAGTAAGTCACTTCCAACTAATAGCAACACTACAATAGAACAAATCCCTGCCGGGTCGTGTGCCATCCTTACAATCATTGCTGCGTTTGAGCTCCTTGTTGCAGCCACTGTATCAATCCTTATAAAGGGGCCTCTTCTTTTTTGATGACTCTACAAGCATGATGTCCTTCTTTAGGGGCTAGACATTCCTGATAACATATCCAAAGTAAGTGAGACAAAATCTTGTCATCATCACTTCTAAGGAGCATTCTGGTTATACTTCTTCCAAGACAGATACATTCATTCTTCTGGCAACCCAAAATACATTCAATATTCTTCACCCACACCACATCTCAAAGGCATTACTTTTTTGTTTTTTGGTCTTTGTCAAGCTTTCATCTATCTGCATATGAGGTGTTTGAAAATATCATGGCATGGGTCAGGCACACTTTAGTCCTCAAGGTGATAGTTTTGCTTGTTAATACTTTAAAGATGACTTCTGCAGTGGATCTGTGCAATGCAATTCATCGTTTGATTCATTTACTGCTGCTTCCGTGGGTATTGATTATGGATCCACATAAAATGAAATTCAGAGCTTCAAACAGTTTGGGGCTTCAAGAAATTTGTGTGGGGGGGAAATCCATTATCTTTCTATCTCTTTTTTTAAGGTTTTTATTGTGGATTGAGTGAAAGTTTACAGGGCATATCATCAGTTTCACATTCAACAAATCATATACCTTGTTTCATTACATGGATTATAATCCCCTCCATGTACCATCAGTTAACAGTATTTTTCTCTATCCACTTTAGCTTTTTAAAAAACACACAAACAAAAAAATCCATTCAGGCATATATAATAATTTACATCTCCAAAGGGCACATTCTGCAAGTCTGCTTCTGGCCATTAGTTCTTAGTCCTTCTCTTCTCAGTCCTCAGCCACTCCTCCTCTCCATGCCCGCATCTCTGGCGCTGCTTCTCTGGATAAGGTCCCTCATTCTGCTAGTGAGTTCCTCTCTTGATGGTCCTAGGGTTCTCTGTTTCTGGACTGTAAGATTAACCACTCCCTTTTTTTGTTACAAAACTTCTACCTTTACAATTGTGACAGTCGAGATTAGTCATGATAACAGTTATTCACTATTGAATCTTACAAATCTTATCCCCATCTCTTTTCACCAAACCCATCTAAACAAGATGACACCTATTCAGTGGGGACTCTTTCTTTCCTCCCCCTATACTCTTAAGCTAAACTTCCTCTTGAAACCTTGTAAGAGGGTGACTTCATGCCTTTATTGCCCCCTCATTTTAGGTAGCCAATGTCTAAATTGCCTGTTCTTATCTACCCTGTGTACAGAGGGGATAGCACTGAAACTTGATGTGAAGACTCTTTCCCTCTCTGTT